TTTCTCATGTGACTTGTTCATGCCTATATAAAATTACTTAATATGTAGCTTCATGCACTGCTGTTATTTTTCATTGCTTAGTTCTCTGACTGCTGTTACTTGAGAGAATTGTTTTGCCTATTTGTGATTCCAGTACAAATAAACTGTGACTTGGAGAACTATCAACAGGAAGTTATCAAGAATTTTCTGTATGCCCACTATAATTGTGAGCAGAAAATTCATAGTAATAGGGAAAGCAATCTTCTTCAGGTAGTAGTCTCATCTATTGTAGCAAGAAATATTTATTTCTAAGTGGAATATAATTATGGAGAACGCTAAACTGACTAGTAGTTTCAATGTGTATGGTATATGCTAAAAATGAATATCTGGAGGAGAGAGGAGAAGGGAAGAAAAAGGTTGTGTTCAGCACAAAATCTGAAGACTTTATTATTAGTGTTAGTTGATAAACCGCACTTGTGTGGAAAATACCATTTTTGTTTCTATAAGACCCCTAAACTACTTTCCTAGGATCTATAGCTATGAGTTTTGAGTACTTTCAAAACCCAATAATGAGGTGATTTGAGGCTAAACTTCCTCAGAATAGCAGTAGGTTAATTTGGGATAGCAAAAGGCTGGTACCAGTCATGCTAAAAAAAAAATAAAAATAAAAATGATAGTTTCAGTACAATAAAAGCTGGCTATTACCTGAGCTATTCAGGACATTTTTCGTGTTTGAATAACATGGTGCCTTGGTTTGGCAATGATATTACCACTTGCTGTTTTGTTACTCTTCCCTTTGCACTCCCTTCCCTTTTTCAACTTTCTCTTTCAACTTACCTTTAATATTATTTTTTTTAATAAAAGGACAAGGGTAAGGGTGAAAAAGCATTTTCTCTTTTTATCTCTTTTCCTCTTCCAAATAGTACTCTGGCTAGAAAATAAACACATGTGTTTGTTGTTACTGATGTAGGTTTTCAAATTCTATTATGCCATTCCAGTGTATAAAAATCAAATCTTAACATTCTTAGTGACTAAATATTGGCAGTACTGTCTGTATGGAGATGCTGGAAGGAGATCTGGAACAGATTATCAACTAACTTTTAGAAATAAATAGAGCATGCACCATTAATATTTCATATAAAAGTGAATGTTTTATATTGGCATCTTGAACAACTGAAAACTTCTCTAGATATAGAAGTCAAGGTGGGAGAATATCCTGCTTTATCTGCTCATTAGGACTACTAATTGACCTACATGTGCTGAAACACTGTCTTAAATTCTATCATACTTTCATCCAGATGAACAGCAATAACAGCAAACCCCTTTTTCTGAAATGCAGCAGAATTTCTTTCTTTGTATAGGGATAAAAGCAACGTCCCACTTCCTCGTGAAGAGGAGGAGGGGATAGTAAGTCTGAGTTCACTGCATGCCATTTGTGTGCAAGTACTTGATTAGCAAATAGAGCTCCCAACATCTTTTTGCTCTCCCAGAGTTGTGGGTCATGGGGGTAGTGCCCTCAGAGCAGTGGATTTCAGGGAATTTAATGTAAAAGAACTCCAGTTTCTAAGATCTGTTTCAAGCTGTTGACAGGCTTCTATTATGTGTGCTTCGATCAAGTTTTAAGTTGCTCTTTTTTCTTTAAAAACATTCCAGTGAAGCTCCACTTTTTAATTCAGTGCTAGACTTGCGCTCTTTTGTTCTGCCTTCAGGCTATTAAAATTTACTTATTGCTACCTCACTCAATGTAATACAGTCATTTTTACTAGTGAATATGCGTTCCTAGACTAGTTGAGAAGTTTGCTTCAACAAATTTAGTCTTGCACTCTTGATTTATATATACCCTCTAGATACTACTAGCATCAACTGAAACAGGCGTATTTGGTAGAGCTTTGTATACTGTTTCCAAATCACTACATGGTATGTGACGCAATACAGAGTGAAATTTTGAGGTCTATTTTAAGGTTCCATGAAGTTGAAATAGACAGGTGGGTTTGTGCTGCAAGTCTTTCAGTATTTGAGCTTGATTTCTGTCCTTTGACTCTACATAGTCTAATCCCTGCAAACTGAGTTAGTGAAGTGTCGGATGAGAGTCATAAAAAGAAACCTTGATGTCTCAAAACCCTCTGGATTTAGTGTTGGTTATAGAATGGTAACTATCGAGATTTCTTGCTCAAGTTTGATGTTCTTTGTGCTGTGTGTATTACAGCTTCATCAGCTCAGCAGAAATTGTAGCTTATTTGCCTCTTGCAATGAGGCAATATGATACAACTCTGTGCAAGTTATTGTTGCATAATTTTTGATGTGTGTCATTTGCTGAACTATAATTATAAATTGAGTGAATTTTAAAGGATTAAGATGAAGTGTTTAAGAAACAGCAAATACAGGAAAATATTTTTTCATTAATATTCAAGTAACCTTAAGCTTAGAGAAAATGTAAGTCCCTTATATTCTGAATATTGTAATTCTACAATAGGTTGTTGATTCAGTTTAAACTAGATTAGAGTAGCATTTTTAATTATTTCAAATTCGTAAGCTTATTCTGGGTATAGCTTCTATATCCTTCAAAACACTTTCTGAAAAGAATATAAAGTTAATGACATACATTTAATGACTTGGTGAGCTAAGGCATAAACTTGAAGCACACAAAACCTTGTAAATGTCTACATATATAGTCTTACCTTATGGTAAATGTTTTAAGTGCAGAGTAGATTAACAATTAAAAAGATTCAAATTGTTGAGAGTCAGGCTGACTAGTTCTCCCTGTAAAATCTGCCTTTCTCAGACTGTTATCTGGCACAGAAATTGCACTTTGGGAGTGATGAACAACTGGGAAAATTGGGTCTCTAACTCTTGAAGGGAATACTGAGTTTAAAGTAAAACTATATATGCACAGGAATATTAAATCTGAAATTTGCCAAAGAAATATCTGAATATTTAATATTCCAGTTTGAGTTATAAGTATATTGAAGCTTAGTTGATATTATCGATTATTCCTTTTCATTGTTGCTATTATGCTTTCCTCTATGTGTAAATTGGTTAAATGGTGAGAGTTATCCTATGCTTGGCATTTATGAACCAACATCTCAAAGGTGATGACCTGTAGAAATACGATAATTGACTGTAGTAGCTATGACAGCTACTCAGAAGGGTAGAGTTTGCGGTCTATCAAGAGAGGGGCCTAACTTTGACAGAAAATCTTAGGTTGAAGCTTTAATAGTTAATGTGTAACTTTCTGAAAGAGAAGAAAAAAAATTTAAAATTATTTTAAGACTTTAATAGAATAATTTATTAGTATTCTTGAAAGCCTTTGCACTTTGTAAATTAATGCTTCATAAACATTAGTTATGTAAGCATACTCATTTTTCTAGTATTTTCTCTGATTTATAAACTTTCAAGATGGAAGAATGGGGAAATGTTATTTTACTAGTATCACAGGTGTTGTCTTTTACTTTTCTAAATAATTAAAGCTAATACCAGATTGTTCTTTGCAGATGAAGCAATCTTCAATCAAATCTCAATTTGCATGTACATATAAAAATGACTTGAGTGAAATGAAGGGTCAGCATTTCCTCAGCAGCAGCCAAATTGCAACCTGCATACATCCTGCACCAAAGCATCATTCAAAAGCTGGACATCTTACAGGTAAGCTGTAGTAGGATTGAATATGTAAATGTGGTAGCTAATATTTCAAATGTTATCAAACAAGACTTTAGTAAAACTCAAGTATAAATATGTTTTCAAGAACAGATGTCTCATTTGTCTGTATATTAGTTTTAAGACATTTAACTCTGATTAGTTAAATGTCTTTCCATTAAAATTGTAATGCTAATACTGTGAAAATATAAATCTGAAAAGTATGTATTGATGCTATCTTGAGATAAAAAAATTGATATGTTTTACATATGTTACCTAATGTTTCTTCTTATTTTACACAAGTAAGCTAAGTGAAATTTGTATTTTTGCCATTAAAAAAGGGAAAAATTGGGTTTACTCCACTATAAACCATATCATATATATAATTTCTAGGCCCTTTAAGCATCTTTTCCAATATCTTAACGTTATATATCCACCTCCCTAAGTTAGTTGCTATTACAAGTTTTTGAGCAATGTCATTTTAAATTGGCAGTACACTTATGAACACATAGCAAATGTAACTGCAATGACCAGCATAGTTTTGTTTTACTGATAAAGCACTAGTTTTGATTAAAAAAAAATCACATGACAATCCTCTGATAGAAAAAGTATGAATAATCCCAGGTAACTTCTTATTTCTTCACATATGTTTTTGATATTCTTACATGACAGAAGGTATGAATTCATGTCTTGATGTACCAGTGCTTGGAACTATTTCTGAAAATGTTCACCAGACTAGAAGTTATACAGAAATGGGAAAGCTGAGTTGTCAGCCAAGAAACAAGAACTCCAAGAATGAACAGATGGATTTGAATAATGACAAAGTAATCTGTGATAAGGAAAGTGAACCATCTTTGCAAAAAAATGCTAAAAGACCTAAGACTTCAACCAACCCTCAGAAGGAACTGGACAGCAAAATCGGTGGAAAAAGAAAACACAGCAAAACTGCAAGTGAGAACAAGTTGATTGCTGGTCAGGCAAAGTTAACTCAGTTTTTTCGACTGTAAGTTTTTGTTTTGACATACATGGTATGTTGATGGTTTCAGAAGGTATAAAATTTTGTGAGAAAAGGGTGAAATTCATTAATTGCTTCTTTTCATACTCAAATAAGTGGAAGTAGCTTGCATGTAATATTATACAAATACAAGTCTGGATTATGCAGAAGTCTTTTATTTTTTGATAACAATACATCATTAGTAATCACAGCTATGTTCTTTTTTTGGTAACGAATTAGATTTCCCTCTACAATGCAATGGGAAATTATTTTTGGATACATACATATAGCCTAAACTATACACTGTTCACACTAAAACACAGAAACTTCAAATTACATTAAATTCATAATAAAATACTTAATCTTCAAAGAAGGTGGTGTAGATCAGTAGTTTTCAGATTTGCCAACAAGGTCGATAGACTCTTCCCAGCATACACCTGAGCACTACAGGGAAAAAGAAATAATCCAAAAGTTTAAATCATCAGAGAACTAGAATTCTTTATGGCCTCTGGAAATATTAATTTAGGAAATTTAACAAATGCTTCTTCCCCTGAGTACCATCTCACAATAGACATGGAGTTTTTAAATGAACCTTTAGCAAATTGCTATGTAGACATTGCATTATACTTTACCAGAATGGAATAATTTTTGTATAAAAATGAAAATATACTTACTGTCAAAATCTCTTCTTCCTATAGGGAATTTAGCTGAATTTTCTTCATCTGCAGTCTCTCTTTCCTGTATTGATTCAATATTTCGAATTTCAGTGTCAGCTGGAAAAGCCATGGCTCCCTTCAGTGCAAGATAAGGCAGTTGCTTTCTACCGAAGTTGATTGGCATAACGTGATCTAAGAAATCGTGTCTGGAACCCATGTCCTGTTTTAAGGGAAAACAAGAGTAGCAGTTTATCTTTAAAGTCAGTTGTGTTCACTTTTTATACTTGATTTTTTATACTTTACACTTAGCAGTGCAAGCATTTTATCTTTCAAGATTATATTTGAAAAGTAGTGACCAGCGTTACATTTTTGGCTGAAATGGGTTTATGATAAAGAACATGATGAAATAATGAGTCTTATATTGGGTGAAGTTAAAAACCTCTTGCTGCATATAGGAACATGCTGAATCAAACATAAATATAGGCTTTTTTTCCACACAAGTTTTGGCTACATATAGTTCTGTAAAAATCAGATTTTTTTGTATCCAACTGCCCAAGGTAGGCATTTAAAATCTTGGAGTTTAGATACTTACAGTTGAAAATTTATTCTTTGCTATAGTATGCTAAACTGATTTTTTTTGCATATTCACCAGGTTATTGCTTTAAATTATTGTTCTTGTTTTCTAAAGGGCTGTAAAGAGAATTTCCATTTTACAATTAAGTCAAAAAGTAAAACTGAAAACTCACCAAAAACTTCATGTTCCTGTCATCCTCTTCATCCAAAACACTGCTGTCCTCAGTCTCATAATGCTTCAGCAAAGGAATAGCTCCTCTGTTCGCAGTTCTATCTCCATTTCGAAGAGTTTTCCCTAGATTTAATGTGGTTAGCAACATATCTTCATCTTCTACCTTTTGCAGAGATTTTGAAACTGAGAGTAGGAAACCTTGAGAAAAAAGAGAGAGAGGGAGAATTAACATGTACGATGAGATACACATTCTTATGTGTATCGCTTTATGCTTGCATAGAAGTTAAGCAATTTTCAAATTTTAAGAAAGCTTTTCCAGTTGTAGGTTAGTATGTTCTCCATCTGTGCCCACTTTATATATTTTACAGATTGAATGGAAACTACTTCAATGGCTGATGAGTTCACTCTCTTAAAATGACTCATATTAAGGAGTAACCTTTTTCTATAATCCTTCTAATCCCATCTGTTGTTTAGAACTACTTAAACATTTCTTTAGCATGGATAATTTGTTTCTTTGTATGTTTTTAGAACAGCACAGATTAGTTCCTTTTGATGGATCAGTATAACAAAGTTCACAAAAAGTGATGTCCATTTGTGTTGTTCATGAAGCCTTACCTCCAGTTAAGGCAATTTAAGAAAAGGAACTAATCTACATAAGTAAGCAGGACTGTTGTAAAGGTGTGATCTATATTAGGTTTTGATCAAAACTGATTTACTGAAGAGTTGAAAAGCATGAAATTTAACAATAGGTTAGACTGCTACTGTGTTAGAGCTGAAATCATTAATTTGTATTTCAATGCCCATTATGTCAGGTTACATTGTTCAGAGCTTATGTCTAGAAATCTTTATTAATACCTAAGTAATTACTTTTGTCTGCATTATCTTTCTGAAAATGGACCTTTCCCAGCTACAAATATAATGTAGTCAGATATACTTGCTAAGAATGTAGAAAGAACAGTAAACTTCAGTTTTTAATTTAAAAAGCCTTTGAAATCTACCTATTACGCTGTGGAAGGAAATGCACGAGTTTCTGCATAACATTTTTTTTTTTTACCTTAACTGGAAAGCAAATGGGGCCAGCTCAAATTCAGCTAATCTCTTAATGTCAGCAATACAAACCACATATTCAGTGGCTGTGTGCCTCTTAGCTGGTACCCATCTCTTAAAATCATGTTTAAGCTTCAGGTTAGTGCAGGGAACCAAACATCCTACTAGTCAAGGCAAACCTCTAGGAAATTGACCAAGAAACTGACTAAGAAAGAGTACTAGTTCCCCCTTGTTTTCCTCCCTCACGCTCCATTTTGCTTTTCCTGATTTTTCTCTGTACTGTCATAAACTAGGAACAAAATGTACATTTTTATTAGCAAAGGTGATTTCTTACAGTGGTTGTCTTTTTTTTTCATACTGATTTTCTGATGTTCTTCACTAGTACCTACCACCAATGTGTTATGAAGGAGAAAGTAAGTGATATTTAATAGTCTAGACAAGTCTACAACATATCAGTGGTAGTCACAGATAGCGAATACATGTTTGATCTTTATACCTGTTACAAGAAGTCCAAGGAGGAAATATGAGTGCTGCTGAGAGGTGTTGCATATGGAAGGAATAGTAAAACAAGCAGTGATACAATGCTAATCCACAGACTGAGGATGTTATGTAGAAGAACTGGCCAGCGTTGTTGAAACTGTGGTATTTTTAATCACTGTTAAACTTCCTGGGAACGCAGGCTGCCTTGCCAAAGTAACTTCTTGGTAAGAAGCTTCATGAGAAAATATGCCCTGCTGGACTAAGCTGATTCTGACTAAGAGACATTTTGGGTAGGGTATACCCACTTTTCCCCAAATGAGGAAATGTATTTAATCCTTTCTGGGCAGAGCATCTCTGACAAATAGAATTATTGCTTCTCATTGTTTTTCATTTCCTTGCTGTAGAGCCTGTACTTGCCTCTGGGTAACTGAAGTGGTTTCTTTTTTTTGACTTTAATTGTCTGGCTACAGAGGAGACAAATTTGAAAGCCAGTTGTATATGTCTTTATACTTCTCATCCAACCTCCCTTTGCTAATTTGTATTCTTCCCTCACATTCAGTATTTGTAGTTTTGTTCAATTAATAAAGCAAAAGACATGTATGCTCTGTAATGGTACATTTTGTTTAGCTCAGCTTAGGCAGACCAGGAGAAGTGCTTTGGAGCTGCCATTGGCAGCAAACCTTTCTTTTTATATGTTAGTATATGAACTAAGATTTGAGTAACAAGATATCCACCCAGTAAATGTGTATGTGGCAAGAGCTTCTGCTTATCTGAAGCTGTAATACCCACAGGTATGCAGTATATAACACATATGGCTTGCTTTCAAATCCTGCTCTTTCATTTAATACAAAGCACACGTAAAATAAGAACAACTGACCTGGATCAATTGGAAAGTCCATCTACAGTGTCTATTTAGTTGTCTACTCTGTCTATAAGCTGATGTCTATTGAAGAATATAAGATCAGGGCAAACTTATGGTACTGCCCCCAGTATCCTCTAGTGCTTCTTGAACTGGCTGTTAATTTTTAGAGATTGTTGAAGATCTGGGGTAGTTCTAGTTATAATTAGTAGAACCTCATAATTAGACTGCTATGAAATCAATGGCATATGTCTATAAATTCTGTGACTTTTCTGCCTGTTCAGAGCAGTAGATAACATTTTTATGCCTGCAGATTTGCAATGCACTGTGTACATCTCTTCATAATGTCTTTGGGAATCCTGACACTCTGGTGTCTGCATTTTTTCCTTTTCATCTTGAAACTTTCAATTTTAGTAAAAATGTACATTGTTTTAATATACCAGCTTCTACCTTTTATCATTGTTTATCAATTTGGCTTTTTATTTTTATAGTAAATAATAACCTAGTGCTGCTTACGTAGCAATAACAATTATTTTGAGAAACCCTTCTTGCTTTGACATTGCGTCTTGTCACAATGAAATATGAACTCTTAACATTTCAAATCTGATGTGGTATATGTGATTAAATAAAATCTAGGTGATAATGTGCCTGGAATTTGTCTCATTCTCATTTTGAATTCTTCTAGGAATTGGTTCTGAAACAATTGTAATAATTTTATTTGGTCTTGTAACTACTGTAATTGCCATGTAGAAGTGTTTGAGCCTAATGCCTAGTATTGACTGAACAATAAATAAAACAGGTGTATTTTATATAAAGCCAAATATTATTTTTTTTACTATTATCAGAATTGAAAAACTGCAATGCAAGAAAGAATAAGAAACCTTAACAAACCATTTTACTGAATCATAAAATAGCACAAAAATACCTGGTCAATGTTCATTTTGCCAGTAGCGTACTATTTCTGATTTTAAAAGGTGGTTGGTTTTTTGGGGGGTCGGGGTTTTTTTTCTTTTTTTAGTTTGGATCTTGTGAATTTAATACAAACAGCTGTGTTTCAGTCCTTTTTGAGTGTGGTTAGAAGATATTTGTCATTTGAACCAAGAGCCACATGTACTGAGACTTTGGAAGACTGATTTAAAACCAAACCTAAACTCTTCATAATGTGCTTGTTCATTTGAGTGATCCTCTAGTAGCAGAGAAAGAAATGCACTCTTATCCCTACAGAAGTTCTGTGCATGAGACATGTATTTCCATGGCACTTCAAACATGAGTAGTTTTGAGTAACAACAGAGCATTTTCTTACCTTGATAAATAACAATATATTAGATTTTTTTTGTATTAGACAAAAGAAATTTGTGGCATTTATTTAAGAGATCCATTTTGGCAATGGACTTAACATTATACATTGTGCATTGTATCAGAGACTTAGGTGAATCTATTTTAATCTCTCAGGCATAGATTTATTTTTTTTTCCCCCCCTGATCCTTTTTCTTGTGATCTTGGACAGTCTAAAAAGAATAGACTGGTAGTATTGATTTGTGCATTTTGTTTAGCACTGATACAAACGGAGGTAAAAGAATTCCAGAAAAGATTTATTTGTTTAATAACTGCAATTCCTTCTTAAGCCTTGAAGAGGAATCCTAGATTTTGCTATACTGGTTTTGAGCTAGCCAGTTGTTTTTCTTCAAACTAGAATGTAAATGGAATCTAGCAAGCACATTTGACAAGAAGCTGGCTATGGCTGGTCAGTAGGAAGTAATGAGGTTATGAGTTGTATCTGAAATCTCAACCCCTTCTTGGGTATTAGCTGTATGACAGTGGTGGCTTGACCTTGTCTGGATGCCATCCCCACAAAGCCTCTCTCGCTCCCCAGCAGGATGGGGAAGGGGAACGAAGATGGAAAAAACCCTTATGGGTCAAGATAAAGGCAGTTTTATAAAGCAAAAGCAAAAGGCCGCATGCAGAAGCCAAGGAAAAACAAAAGATTTATTCTCTACTTCCCATCTGCAGGTGATGTCTGGCCACTTCCTGGGAAGCAGGGCATCAGTATGTGTAGCGGTTGCTCCGGAAGACAAATGTCATAAATAATGAATGCCCCGCTTCCTCATCCTTTCTCTCAGTTTTTATTGCTGAGCAGACATCATATGGTATGGAATATCCCTTTGGTCAGTTTGGGTCAGCTCTCCTGGCTGTGTCCCCTCCCAAGATCTTGCCCACCCCCAGCCCACTGGTGAGGGAGGGGAAATGTTGGAGAGATGGCGTTGATGTGTGCCAGCACTGCTCTGCAGTAGCCAAACTGCTGGTGTGTTATCGACACCTTGCTAGCTACCAATGCAAAGCACAGCGCTATGAGGGCTGCTGTGGGCAAAATGAACTCCATCTCAGCCAGACCCAATGCAATCACTTGTATTTACCCATACTCATGTTGGACCCAGAGCCTGGAACTTTCTCTTGAAGGTAGACACTTTCTTTCAGTGACTTTAGCACCTTATTATATAGACTGTCTATCTTAATACTTATCATAAGTGTTACAGTTCCAAACCCCTCCCACTCCTAATCCAACAGGCGTTAAAGTGGAGTTTCCTTGTGCTATTAAAGGAAAGATCTTCTGATCAGCAGTTCACAGCACTTAACAGAGATAATTAGCACACTTCATTATTGACTGTAGGAAATTAAGACTCTTGCCTAACACCAATTCATTGTTCCTCCCTGCTGAATCAACTAGTAACTCCTAGTTCTCCTCTCTTAACTAGTTGATTTAGCATGAAGCGAGCACTATGCTGCACATAACAGAACAGCTCTGGACTTGTGCAGGAGCATGGCTCTAAATATTTGGAGAACTTAAAGTGGTCTTCTGTTTACAT